CTCTGAGAAACAAATATTCTATTAATAGAATCCAGAGGCACTTTCATGCCATAGAATGCGTAAAGATGCAAGCAACAAAGTCTAATAGTGGAACGTAATTTCTGCACTTCTGTTGTAAGCTCAAAATTGTACACACAATGGTCATGAGCTCTGGCTAATGCCGATTTTTCATTACTAGTGTTGGAATCCTACAAACTGCACGCCTTTTCACAATTATGGCTTGTTCAACCAAATCAGATTAACATTCTGTTGCCGATAACATGCAAATTAAGCTTAATAGCATATTACTAGAACTAAGTAAACGGATGACACAGAAACAAGAGAAGTGGGATCCGCACATAAGACGATTCCTTTTTCTATACTCAATTACGTAAGAGTCCAGCTAGCTCATCTCTGTCTGGTAGTTTAAGCCTTGTCCCACCAGCTTCATTTCAATCCAGGAGTTGCATGATAAGAAAGCTCTTGATCTCCGAGACAACATCAAAATTCTCCAATTTAATAGAGTTAGCAAGATCTGGGTGACCAGAGTGATCAACAGCTTGATCTAAGAGTCAAAATACGCCGTGGAGAAGAGCTTACTTATGAGCAAAAGGGTAGGACGAAGTCGCAGGAGATTCGGTAAAGGAGATAGAGCTGGTAAAGATGACAAGCAGAAGCCTATAAATATTGGCACATCTCTCAAGATTGGGGCACCTCGGTACCATTGCCTAATTAAAATTAGACTACACACTATATTTAACATATTCTATATAACATCATGAAGGAGATATTTTCCAAGAAGCGGAAAGTGGAAGAGACATCGGTTGTCAAGCTGACAGAGTATTGTAGTGCCATCTTGCAAAATAAGCTCCCTAAAAATGTGGAGATCCAAGGAGTTTTACTATACCTTACTCTTTAGGAAGTACTAAATTTCAAAAATATTAGTGTGATTCAGCTGCTTCTATTAATCTTATGCCTTTGTCTATTTTCAGGAAATTGGAGGGGGAAATTGGAGAGGTCAGGTCGATCCCTGTGTCCTTGCAGCTGGCGGATCAGACCACACTCATACCTGAAGGAATAGTGGAAGATGTGTTGGTTCGTAGACAAATTTGTGTTCCCTGTGGACCTCATTGTAGTGAATATGGAGGAAAATAGGAAGGTCCCTTTGATTTTAGGAAGACCTTCTTGGCTACGGGCATAGCAATTCTAGATATTCAGGAAAGGCAGCTCATGCTCAGAGTGGGGGAAAAAAGGCTAATCTTTAAAATGGAAGGAGAAAGGGGGGGACCTCAAAGAGCAAATCGAAAAGAGTGAAGCTGATAGGTGTGGGGTATTCCCAAAGAAGGCGGAAAAGAAGCTCTCAGCGTGGATGTGTGCACTGGGTCGGGTGTGCAGAGGAGATCCCGACTTAGATTCAGACCCCGACTAGATGAATCAGAGAAGTTTTCTTTACCTCTTGCTTTTATTTGTGTGTCATGGGGACATGCCATAATTTAAAGTGTGGGGTGGGGAATGTAAATATGTATATGTGTGTTTGTAGTCATTTCTTTTGATTAATAAAAAAATTGACTTTTTCCGACGATGGATTTCCTCGGCTGTCTTCTTGAGGGATTAAAGTCGAAGAAAAAAATATATTTTATTTTATTAGGTAGTGTAATAATTTTCCTTTGTTTTTTTTGTGCTGTGCTTCTTTTTCAAGGGTTTTTCTTGAACCGGGTGTAGTTAATTTTCTTTTAGTAGGAGTTGTGAAGTCTTGTGCTAAGTTTTGAATGGAGATGACTTTGTTCTGCCTTGAGAGCAGTGGGTGCCTGATTTGTGATGCTTACGCTCAATTCTTGACTCCTAAATAAGTACTTTAAATTGTGTGATTGTAACTTGTCTTCCCAAATCCCTAATTTTCTACCATGAAAGAACATAGATTAAGGCCAGAAATTAGTAAGTGATGATGGAAATGGAAGAAAATAAATTAAAGTACACTAACCTATGAAAGGGTGATGAAATTTCTCCTCTAAATCGCCTCTAGGCCGAGCTCCAATGAAAAGATGGTGAAAAATGAGGGAAATCCCGACATTTAGAAGTTCATATGACTGGGAGTCAGGTGTTCATCGCGTTCGCGAGACACCTGACGCGTTTGTAAAGGGCACTGCCCAGATGGCTTAAACGATCGCGAAACACTCTACGCATTCGCGTAGGCTTAGCCACCTTGCCTTCGTGTTTGCGAGCCTGCACTCGTGTTCGCGTAGAGTAAGTTCCAATCCCATCCCCTACCTCTCTAACACTATGTGTTCGCGATGGAATGGCCGCGTTCGCGAAGGGTAGACCTCCCACTGCTCCGCGTTCGCGACCAAAACCTCGCGTTCGCGATGAGTAAATCCATCACAGTCCCCAATCTACTCTTACCGATCGTGGGAGTATCTTCGCGATAAGAAGCAGTCACCAGAAATCAACAGAAACTAAACCAACATTTTTCCTAAGTTCAAATATCATCCGTAGCCTATCCAAAACTCAACGAGTCCTCGGGGCTCCAAACCAAACATGCGCACAAGTCCAAAAATATCATACGAACTGGATCGCGACCAAAACACCAAAGTAACACCTAGAACTACGAATCAGATCCCAAAACGAATGAATTTTTTAATGAAACTTAAGAACATGCAATTTCTCAACTCGACGTCTGAATCACGTCAAATCAACTCCGTTTTGCACCAAATTTTGGAGACAAGTCATAAATACTGTAATGAACTTATACCAAGTTCCGGAATTTAAATCCGAACCCAGTAATAATAAAGTCAACCTACGGTCAAACTTACAAATCCTTTAAACCTTTAAACTTCTAGTGTTCAACAAATTACGTTAAATCAAGCTAGGGACATCCGAATTTGATTCCGGGTATATGTCCAAGTCACAAATCACGATACGGACCCATCGGGATCGTTAAAATACTGATCCGAGTCCATTTACACAAAACATTGACCGTAGTCAACTCAAATGAGTTTTAAGGTACGATTTCACATTTTTATCAATTTTTCTCATAAAAACCTTCCGAAAAACGGACACGGACTGTGCATGCAAATCGAGGAAGGCTAAACAGAGCTATTCGAGGTCTCGGAACACAGAAATGAAGGGTAAAACTATAAATGACCTATCGGGTTATCAGACTGTTTTTGACAAAAATAATCATCAAACATGAAAAAAATCTGAACATAAAGAAGAAATACATTATCACAACAGAAAAAACAACCAATAAAATTTATATCAATAAAATAAAGGACAGGTACTGAGCTATTTTTTAGGTATCACAGTAAAATAATATAAAGTACTCATTTTATTGAAATGAAAGAAAATACTTTTTCTACAATATGAAAAGAATATATTCTTTTTATTGAAATAAAAGAAATATACTTTTTCCAACACGAAAAAGAAAGTAAACATTTTGTGAAGAAGAAAATACCTTTTCTACATCATGAAAAGAAAGTACTCTTTTTGATGAAACAAAACAAATACTTTTTCTATAACATGAAAAGAAAAAAAAATAACTTTTCTACATCACGAAAAGAAAAAAATACTTTTTCTACATCACGAAAAGAAAGTACTTAGTTTGTTGAAATGAAAGAAAATACTTTTGCTACAGCATAAAAAGAAATTTTTTATTTTGTTTAATTGAAAAAAATACTTTATCTACAATATTAAAAGAAAATATTTTTTCTACAACAGGAAAAGAAATTACCCATTTTGTGAAGAAGAAAATACTTTTTTCTATATCATGAAAAGAAAGTATTTTTTTTGTTGAAACAAAAGAAAATACTTTTTCTATAACATTAAAAGAAAGTACCGATTTTGTGGGAAAAAAAATACTTTTGTTACATTATGAAAAGAAAATATTTTATTGATATGAAAGAAAATATATTTTTACATCGTAAAAAAGAAAATATTCATTTTGTTGAAACGAAAAAGAAAATACTTTATCTACAACAGTAAAAGAAAGTACCGTAAATGATATTTTTATTTAGAGTGGGGGTGAGGGTTTGGGGGTAGGATGAGAGTTGGGGTGGTGGGAGGTGGGTGGGAAATTCTAATTTTACTACTTTTTTATTATTCTGATCTTTGTTTGTATTATAAAATGAACAACTATCACATAAAATTCTAAATTCAAATTGAGGAAAGAAATTATTTGGCATGAATTGACATTATTCCAAAACATAAGATAAATTTTTTATAAAGTTGAGAATATTGCAAAGATTTGGGTCAATTTGGACGAGTTGGGTTGTAATTCGTTGTTTAGCCCATCTTGACAAGCCCATCTTAACCTAAGTGAACTTTGGGCTGGGTTGGATAATGACTCATTTAATGAATCAACACATCTTAACCAACCAAAATACAGCCCAAATAACCCATTCACTACCCCTAGTTGGTCCTAACATAGTGCCTTAAATTGAATTATGAGTACTCGAAGAGATTTATTGGACTGGAAAGAAAGGTGGGATTTGTTTTTCTTGGAATTGGCTCTTATAGTTATGGTTACTGAGGATTCCAAGTAATCCTTCCGTTCATTTTTATTTGTCCACTATTGACTTTGCACATTCCTTAAAAAATAATAAATAAAGTTTATAATTTATCATGATACCCCTATTAATTAGTGTATAGTCTTAATGGATTTGAAAAATAATTTGAAATGAGTCATTAATGCTAAGGGCAAAACAGAAAAAATAAGTTACTTTTTTCTTGATATGTGAAAAATGACAAGTATAAATAAAAATTTACTTTTAGAATACTTGACAACTAAAAGTGAACGGGAGTAATAATATTCCATGACAAGTATCATTCTTGCTTTCTAAAGTAGGAAATGTCTCAATCACATTGAAGTCACAAAGTCAACCTACACTAGAAGGCCATTAGGCCACAGTGGCTAGTTCTAATATTTTATTTTGTTTTTAGAATTTGACTTTGTATCTTCACTTATTTGAAAGTTCTAATGAAGCGTAGAATTAAGTACATTTAACTCTCAATCAATATTAAGTATATGAAATTGAATCTTTTCCATAATTATTTTCTCATTCATAATATAATCACAATATTTTTGAATTGTGGTATAAAGCCACACCACAAATGAAGAAGAATATGTCACTCTTCTTTTATAATTTTGAGTTATAAAAAGAATAATAAAAATCATATTGTGCTACTTTTTGTTGCTTTCCAGTTTTTCGATTTTTTCAATAACAGGTTCAACCATCGTCTTTAAGTCTTTCAAGTCTTGCTCCACATCTTCAACCTGTCAACCCATTGTTATCAGAGCTATAATGCTACTAACCAGAAAATAATAAAATGAGTATAAATTAAAGAGGAATTAACCTAAATAGTTGTTCACCCAATCGTTTAAATTAAAAGTAGCTGGAGGATGTATAATCTATGTATAATCAATTATAATTAATGTATAATATATAAATACTGGCTAAGAAAAGTAAATATTGAATTTGGGTGAGTATTTATACAAAGATCACATTTTATTTACCGCATGATATACACAAAAAGTATGTAGGCGATATATGATCTAATAATGGGATATAGTAAGTAAGCAATCGCAAAGTACTTCCCAGCTTTGTGATCAAACATGTAATTCTCCTCTATCCTAATTTAAATTTTGCGTTTGGCTTTGATGTTCAGATTGACTGATAGAATGACTATTTGATTTGAGCCATAAGTATAACACAAGAATAATATATAGGAAAATATTGAAATATGTTAGAAGTGCTACTAACATCGTTAGCTAGACAACTCTAAACTTCCCCCCAACCCCAAAAGCACAATTTTTAAAAAATTGGAAAAGACAAAATATACAATTGATTTTAATGGTAAATAATGGAACTTTAAGCATAAAAGTGCTAAAGTGGATTTAGTTTTGAATTACTTTTCAGAAAATTAGTTTTTCGGAATTTTTTTTACAAAAGTTATTTGCTTGAACTAGTTTATAGAAGATAGATATTTCTTAATTGCCATAGAAACTAACACTAATGTGTTATTGGTTCTCATAAAACATTTTGGTTTAATTTCATTGGTCAAACTTTTTTCAATTAAAGCATAGTTTTTTTTCTTATTTTCTTGTTTTGAGAAACTCTTGAAAACCAAATGGGCAGTCAAAATAAGACAAAAGTACTCCCTCCGTTTCATATTAAATGACATACTTTCCTTTTTAGTCTGTTCCAAAATAAATGACACATTTCTAAATTTGGAAATAATTCAACTTTAAACTCCTCATTTTACCCTTAATGAGAAACTTTTATAACTACAAAAGTCATGACCCCACAAAGTTTTACCCCTTAAACTTTTAAAACCACAAATTTTAAAAGTCTTTCGTTTTTTCCTTAAACTCCGTGCCGGGTCAAACTACCTCATTTAATTTGAAACAGAGGGAGTAGTATTTATTGCATTACAAGAACAGCTCATTTTGAACCCAAATACAACCAACGGGGCATGGTGGAGTGATAAATACTCTTCATTCTTAACCAAAAGTTTCGGGTTCAAGTCCTTGGGTATAGAATCGCCTTTGTTAGGGAGCACTTTATCCCTAATGTGAGGGACTTTCCGGCACGAATGCGGATTTAGTCGGGCCCCAATGTAAGAACCGAACACCAGGTGGAAAACCAAAAGAAAAAAATATCAAATACAAGGCAAAGGATGAAAAGAATAACGTAAAAGTACTGACCTTGTGAATTAAATTGGAAGTAAACTGAGCATCTTTAGCAACGACAGCTGATGCATTTTCCACAGCTACAGCTGCTTCTTTGAGTAGACTATTTTCCGGCAGCTTCTCGGCAACCCCTGCCATTACATTTTCCGTCTTAGTCGCCACCGCTGCTACTACCTCAGCAACTTCTTCCACCTCTTCTGCCACCTTCTCTACCTCTCCTGAACAGAATAAACATCGCATCCTTCAACTTTTGTCTTTAATTAAGAGATACTATATTACAGAATGTCAACTGCAGTTATACTTGTTTTTTACACAGAGAGATAGTGGCTGAAACTTTGTATTAGAGTCCCTCTGGCCAAACTACCAAAAACTGCTTATTTTAAGAAGTGCTTTCCGGAAAAAGTACTTTTGGAGAATAATATTTTGTGTTTGGCTAGTTTAGAATTGCTTTTTGTGATATATTTGACAAGCAAATTGTGTTCGGTCAATCTCTCTAAAAAAACACTTTTGAGTATCAAATTATGAAAAATAACTGTAAGTGTTCAATTTACAATTATTATTATTCGTAAAAGAGAATTAAATTTATAAAACATAAATTTAAAATATATATTAAAGATTTTAGTCAATATAAGATATAGTTATCTAAAGAAATATATGGTATATGGTATTACTTATTCTGCTTCTATTTTGTTTCTTGGAAAAGCTAGAATTCGTAGTTTCTTTTCAAAAGCAAAAAAATTGCTTCTGCTGGTGCTCAAAAGCATCTCTCGGTTTTGGCCAAAACACCTTTAAGTACTTTTAACCTCCTAAAAGTTTGGCCAAACAGACTCTATACTGAACCCGGGACTGTTAGTATGCATTTAAAATACGAAAATTCATACCTTCTATCCTTCGAAAATTATCCCATTTATCCTTCCAAAAGGGGAGGAATATTGATATTATGGACCCCAAAATCCATTTCGTCCTGCATATATAATGAGAAGGTTTCATGACTCTTTCCAAAAATGCCAATCACACTCCTTCTTTCCTTTTTCCTCTCTTTTAAAGTCCCTTTTTTTAATGCATGGCAATCAAATGAATATAATCAATGACAGTAATTAATTGCACGTACCAAGCAAATAAACTGGGCTTAGAAGGAGCTGGCTCTTCTGGAGGAACATTGTTTGCTTCATTTTTTACCCTTACAAATTCAATGAAGGATCAAGATTCAATCTTCATGACACAAAGGTAATAAAGGGTGCTAATTTTTTTGAAGAAAAAATGAGTAGAGAAGAATTAATTACTGATCCATCGTCTTGGGTATTCTATAATCTCCAGAACTGATAAACCGTAGCCCTGGACTTATCGAGCCACCATAACCGATCCTAGTAGCTGGAACTATTCCTTGTAACTGCGAGGATTCACCATTAAACCGAACTCTATAATAATGGTGAAGCAACGTAACAAGACTTCGGAGTTTGTATGAAGATGAAGAATTCGCAGACATGATATATATATATAGGACTATAGTTGGTTTTGTGAGAGGGAAGAGTAGAAACCAGAGAAGTTTTTTTCAACAGATTGCTAAAAATTTTAAACAATGTAATAACTTTAGAGCATACTGTAGTAATTTTACGAGCTTGTTTGAGCAGCGAGGCCACAACCAGGATTATGCCAGTGATATATGAGAAGCAAATAATTATATATATAGTTATGGTAATGCTTTGTTTTAAAGATACTTAGGCAATATGAGTCTGTAAATTAGGCCAAGCTAGCGCTTAACATGTGATGAAGAAGATCGGCCGAACACGCCATGGAATGAAATAATTGGGTTTCTTTGCTTGTTTTATGTATTTTATTGTGACTTTAAGCTAAAAGTTTCTAAAAGATTGCCTGACAAGTGACCTGTTCCTTACAAGCATGAACCATCAATTATGGACTCTTTATTTTTGTCATGTGTCCTTCTTTCACAAATCAAATTAGATTGTGATGAAGTTAAACATTCCCTTCACAAAACTTCGAACGTATTGCTCTTGTAATATGAAATTAAACAGAAAAAATAAAAAGCAAAACGAGAACATAATATTGAACAACTGGGCTTCTTTTTTTCTTTTTTTGGGTGGTTGGCTAAAGTCAACTCATTCAAATACCACCAATTGACCATAGACAGTTAATAATCATTTCATATAGTTAGGTCTGTTTCTTTATTCATTTTTTTTTTCCTTATCATGTTAGTGTAATAACATCATCATCACAAACAAACAAAAACACAAAGTCCGCATCAATGCTATCCCATACAAAAGAGTCTTAACGTTTTAAGAAATAATTAAGGATAAATGTGACGCCACTCGATGTATGGTCAACGTTCGATACTGTTTTTTAGTTCCTGTGCCAATTATCGCAAAACAGAAATATGTGCTAGAGATGAGCTCCATTTCTAATACTCAAGTTAGGTCATTATTAATTAGTAGGTTTGTGTTTGGCTCCAATTAATTTAGATTCGTGTATAACTCATTAAAGGGAGAAGCTCCTTATTAGGAGCTTTCTTTCTTAGTGCACAAACCTCATACCTTTTGTTAAAGGTGGAGAGATAACGTCCGTCCCACCGCAACTCTCGGTGGTATAGTTGATGTTAAGTTGCTTCTAACGTTCAAACACTTGTATCCAGCTGACACCTTTGTAAACGATTTGTAATTTATGACCCCTTCAGTCTTCTCATAAGCATCCACACTTGGATCAGCCTGAAAGTGTACTACAAAACTTCAGGCCCAAAAGAGGGTTTGAATCAAGGTTGTAAAACTATGTTCTCGGTGCAGCTTTTGATCAGTACTAGTACTTAATACTCCACCTTTTTTTATAAGGGCAGCAGAGCTTGTCAATTTTTCTCAGGCAAATTCATTTGGGTGTCCATCCATAGAGTAGGATCACTTCTAAAATATGGAGTAGTAACCTTCTATGATCCCCCCCCCCCCCCCATTTTCCCCTCATAATTAAGTAGTAACTTGAGCGTAAAATGTCTTCCCAATTAAATATTTTTCGAAAATTTATTGTACAAAAAAAAAAGAACTTCGATGACATTTAGCAGGCCTATCGATGGTTGTATCGTTGTGACACTCAATCACTATTAGAAAACTGTCAAAATCCGTCCAGAGCATACCGATCAAAATTTATCGGAATAAAAACCCGACTGATGTCGGTCGGAAACAAAGGAAATTGGTCGAAAAATTCAATTAACAAATTGTACATAAATATACCAATCGCAGCCGGTCGGAAAACGTGGTCCCACAACAAAATTAATTTAGATTTGTGTATAATCAATTGCGTTTCTCAGTAATAAAAAATTATTTTTAATATAATTATAAAGTTACCGATCGAAATCGGTCGGTAACACTTATAGAATATTGTTA